CCCACTATTGGGCTGAAGAGGCAGCAGGGTGGGCGGAGCAGCAGAACTGCCTCCTTTCAAGCAGCTGGCCTAGATTCACCCAGGAACTGCTCCACCTATCAGTTCTGATAAGTGCACATCGAACAAGTGAGATTAGCTCACACACCCAGCTGAAAACTACTCTGCTGTAAGGTTAACTTTCCATTACATCAGCAAGCTCATCTAATCACACCACCATATGAACACACAAGTTTTCATACACTGTGTATAGAAAACACATACAATCAAGACAGGATTTTTCAACTGCAGTGCAGCTACATATCAGTCTAGGCTATAAAATCATATGGTAAGGCTCTTACAAAAGAACAAAAAGGAAAGCAGAGGACACTGCTGGGCACACTAGAATTTCCTGCACACTGTAACAGAATTACACATAAATGAAATTCAAACACTGCAATTGGCCAACACTGGAAAAGGTTTGATTTAAGCTTTATGTTAATGTTAACTTAAGTAATCTTGGCAATTTTGACTACCTCACTAGGTCAAGTTTCATTTTATTTAAAGTTCAGTATGAATTATTACAAGAATGGTCTTTTAAATGTACAAGATATAAAGCCAGGCAATATTTAATGCATTATTCTTCTAAGAATCTACCTGCCCATAATTCAGTGACAATCACTGGTAGCAGTACCAACCTTCATGCCATCTTACATTTTTATCAGCATCAACTCCAATGACCTACAATGCTTTCTCAGACAAACGTCACTCCAGAAATTCTGCCATCAAGGACTTCAGCTGCCTTTCTGAAAGGTTTCTTTGTAATAACATCACTGTATGATAGGCTGATTTCTGCATATATTGAGACTGCTTTGATTAGAATTTGATAAACTACTACTTTGTAGTTCAACATTCACCAACAATGCTGAAGAGCACACCTCATATACCTAGTTTGTATTTCTATTTTTCTGGTCATTCTCCTGTCATGCTTTACCCCACAGCACTAGAAAGAAGCCTCATATGGGGTATTTTCTACTTTAAGAGCAGACTTCTAAGGACCACTGTCATCCTCTGATCTTTTTTGTCACACAAAAGAGCAGTTTAAGTAATTTTTCTTTTCTTCAGGTCTCACATCTTTTGTGAGTATGATGCAATCTTCCCATTTAAAACCTCTGTTCTAAAAGTGTCAGACCAAAACTATGTTCTGTATCTTAATATTGATCCCTCTAGAGCTACAATGGGTCATGGGAGGAAGCAACTACCTAACATTTTAATCAATCCTCCCCCTGGCTGTAGGTCAATATCTTAAGTATTCAGATTAAAAAATAAGAAGCACACAACTATTAATAGTTTTAAGTAATAAGAGCAATAATAGTAATAAGCAAAAAAAGAAAATAAAGGCAATTAAGAAAAGCTGTATCTGGAGATGTTATTTTCAATGTTGACCAAAAAAAATTTCTAAATCTTCTGCGCCACTAAGAAATAATTCAGTTCTATTTTAGTTTAAGTGCTTCTGAATGTAACACCCAGAGTGTTCAGATATTGTTCAGCAATACTGCTTCCAAAATTATTTTCAAATGCATACTGAGCTATCACTGCGTTAAATGACAGAAATGTGGCATGAAAACAGCCACACAAAGAGCCATTTGAAAATAAGATACAGAAGTATTCTGTTCCCCATGAGTGGCTTTAAGAAGGGCTGCTGGGCAGTGACTGTGAGCAGCAGCCCTGCCAGCCCCTGAGACCAGCAGGCTCCTGTAAGGCACATCTGAGGCGTGGGATTGCACTGATGCACAAAAAGCAGAAGATTAAGTGGCTTTTGGGGGAAGGAAGTCCAGGACATACATCAGAGCAAGGTTTAGTCAGGCGTGTGTTTTACATTGCTCTAACTCAAACTCTGTCAAAAGGAAAGTGGATACATATTGGCTTCTGAAGTGCTTGTGAACCTACTGGCTACTTTTTCATTTTTAATGTAAAGTAAGGAGGCCACGGCTTACAGGAGTTTCACAGCCACATCCACACAATGAAGCCACTACCTGGTTTCACAGGGCTGCTGCATTAAAGTAAAGTTATGAAAGTAAATACTGACCTGATTGTTTCCTATTTAAAACCCCCACATAATAGAAAGGAGCCGCCTGATGACATTACAGAGTTATCCGTGTGCAGCCATTAAACCAGGGCTGAGAAAAAAAAATTGACTCATCCCTGACATACATGAAACTCACTCTAGCAAGGTGAACAGGAAATCACTGGTTTCTGTGAGCTGAGCTCCTGGCCCCTGCAGCTGAGAAATGCCTTCACCTCCTTGTGCCACCATCCCCACCTCTGCAAGACATCTACTCCACACTCTACCTTTCAAACCCTCCCAGGGAATAGTTTGCGACTGCCTACAGTTTAACACTACCCCAAATTTGAATTACTAATTTAAACGAGGCTTAACTAAACTACTTAAATGGTGCCTAAATGCTATTCTAATTACAGAGCACACATTTGCAATTAACTAGCTCATTTCAGGAGCTGGAGCACCAACTTAGAGAAAACAGAACGTCACTCATACATACATACACATCTCTGGTCTAGACAGGTTAAGTGAACAGTCTGGCAGTAAATTGAAGCTAAAAATGTGTGTCATACTACAGTCCTCTCTCCTACACCTTCTCAGAGGCAAATTTTCCTTCACTGATTTTATGCTTAAAATGAGGTTTTGAAACTGCAGCCATTGTATTTGTAAATCTTTGTTGTCTTAATGGGTATTTTAAGGTAGTAATAAAAAAACCACCACAGCAGCACTGAGTTACTAGAACTGAAGAAAATAAAGCACACAAAGTATGAGCCTGCCCCATGAAAGAGACCAAATACCACTAAGTTGACAGCCAGTTAAAGAAAAAAATTCCTCTGTGCACGTTTAGACATTTCTATGCAAGAAAATAAAGCAAAACTTCTTGTATTTTAGCTTACAAAGCAGACAAAACTGACCTTTAATTTCTGCACAAGATAAACAATCAAGTTTTTATCCATACACACAGAAACACACATGCACTGAGTACATATCTGGAGCACTGTTTTAACTGAGACCAGTTACTTGTCCTTATGGGTAAGCAGAAGAAAATACTGTGAGTTATTATCAGTGTACGGATGAGATGCACAGTTCTTGTTACATCTGCTTCAATTTCAAAATTAGTTAAGTAACAACCCTTTCTGCCATAGTAGCAAACACAGAACAGGTGATGCTCTTGGATTCCAATTCAGGTTTCAACACAGACAAGGCAGTAATTAACCTTTAGAGCAATGGCTTCTTGAAACCCACTCTCCTAAAGTAAAAAAATTCTATTTATTGATTTTTGTTATTCAAGTCAGCTTAAAAAAAATGCAGTCATCCAAAGTCAGATTGATTACCGCTCTTATGTTCCAAATCAACAGCTAAAAATGCTAGTAATCCCACAAACTAAGCAGGCATCAAGTGAAAGATACTAAACACTACACAAAAATACATCTTCCCTTATTTCCTAACCTTTCAGCAGGTAAAAAGTTTATTATATATAGAGAACCACTAGTTTAATACCTCAGTGAAAGTTCTAGACATAAATTAAATTACCATTTAGCACTGAGCAGCTATTACTACAAAAAAAAAAAAATCTCACTTCCATAAGAAGGTATGGTCTACCTTTTAAGTGCAGACACACAGCAGTGGCCCATCTAACTTGCATGGGAACTAAACCTGCATATATTACATAAACTGACATTTTTTTGGTCATGATTTAATACAGACCATAGGTATTTCTGCATATAGAAGCATTTCTTTCACTGAGCCCAACCTGAAGCCATTGTCAGTCAGAGGGAGATTACAATGGCCAGGAGAAAGCATTCAGTGAATGGGTAGTTCTGACAGTCTTCTGTTCAGCGATATTTCATCTGCAGGAGGCGGCACACAAACTGCACGCAGAAGATTCCTGAACGCTGTCTTTTCTTGGAATTACATTTGCACATAACTGGTTCAGCGTGAAGCCAGCAACTTCACGCTAAAATAAGTTTAGCTGCTTTTCCTTAAGTCGCCCATTGAAACAATCTTCGTGCATAAAGGCCCCTTTTCCCAGCCACCCTCCTCAAACACGAAGCACCCCTCCAATTTATTCTGCAAGACTGGTTCGCTAAGCGAGCAGATCAAACAGAAGCTGCTCACAAACGCGTTTCATACAGACTCCCGGGGCAGCTGCTCGAAAATTGTAATGTCTACTTTCTCTTTTTTACGAACGACCGGCCGAGGACCCCTCGGGCTGCAGGGGCACACGGGCTGGGCCGGCGGGGCAGCGCGGGCGGGCCACTAAAATCCAGACCCAAGCGAGATACACCCCCCAAAAAAATGCTCAAGAGAAGAAAAAAAAAAAAAAAAAGGAAAAAAAAAGGAAAAAAAAAAGGGGAGAAAAAAGGGCAGGAGAAGGCAGCAAGCGAGGCGGGCAGGCGGCTGGCGGGCTCCCGCTGCTGCCACACACGCTCCCACCCGCGCACGGGCGCCCCCTTCCTTCCTTCCCCCTCCTCCCGCGATTCCAGTCCCACCCGCTCCTCTCCCGCATATTTGAAAGGCTGCTTTAATTCCTGCAGCAGCAAATTCCTCCCTCCCAAATTTGGGCGCAAAAGGAAAAAAAGGGGAGGAGGGAGCGGGATGGAGGGGGAAGGGGAGAAAAGCTAGGGAGAAGAAATATCTCCGGCATTCTCGCCGCCCGGCTCCCCAAGCCCCGCGCAGGCATTATACAATTTCGGCGAGGCAGGAAGTGACTGGGGGGGTGGGGGGGAGAGGCGGCGGCGAGGGGGGCTGGAGCCGCATCTGAGGAGGAGGACGAGGAAGGCGGGGGGCGGCCAAAGGGACGGGGGGCCCCGCGGCGGGGCCGCTGGGATGGGAGCCTCGGCGGTGCCCGCTGTATTCCCCCCTCCCCGCGCCGCCTCTCAGCCCACCCATCGCGGAGACCCCACGGCCGTAGGCTCACACTGTCACGGCCCCCCCGCCACGCCTCGGCCCCGGGCTGGAGACTCACCCATGGCGCTGGCCGGCGGCGGTGCGGCTGCCGCTGCTGACGCTGAGCTCCGGCTGGCTGCTCGTCCTCCCGCCCTGCCTCCCTCAGCCGCGGCGGCACCGAGCGGGCCACCCCCTCCCCGAGCGCCTCCCGCCAGCCAACCCGGCGGCGATTCTCCAACGCCCCCTACGCCGATTCCGCCGAGGGGCCGCGGCCCTTCCGCACACGGCGCCTACGCGCTCCCGCGGCCGGACGGACTTAGCGGCTCCGCTCCCGCCGCCGCCTCTGCCTGCTCCTCCTCCTTCTCCCTCGCCGCCTCCACCCAGCTCCTCACACGCTCCCCGCCCGCCTCCCCGAGCACACAGCGGCTTCCGGCTCAGCCCCTCCGCCCGGCGCTGTCCCCACGTCTCTCGCCCGCCCCTCCCAGCCCGGGGTCAGTCACGCTGTTATTTCCTCTCGCGCCGCGCCGGAGAAGAGAGGGAGCGCTCGGAGGCCATTTTGGAACCGGGCGCACGCTGCGGGAGCGCGCAGGCCGCACGGCGGGCTCTGCCCGGATCAAAGATGTCCGCCGGGCTTGACGCGCGGGGCGAGGCGGTCGCACCGCCCCCGTCTTGCGCCGGGACCATGCTCGGAGCGGCGCCGCTCCGTGCGCGCCTGGCGGGGCCCGGGGCGGGCCAGGCCGGGGCCCCCGCGCCGCCCGCGGCCGCCCACACAGGTGGCGTAAGGAAAGGCCGGCGGGAGAGCGGCACCGGCATGGGCAGAGCGAGCGAGGCCCTCAGCCGCGCTTAGCCCCGGGGAGCCCGGGACTGCGGCACTGCGGCGATCGACTCGCTGCTTCCCCCACATAGACATGATTGGATGCCCAGGTCCCCCGTAATGAATGAGGACACAGTGAGAAAACACCAAAACACAACCAAAGCATTTGAATGCAGCTGTTGGCAGGCGCTAGGTAACATTTTTCTAGGGGGCCGAAGGGATGCTTGGGTGCCCTGGGAATCCCAGTGCCAAGCCCTGCGCCTGGGCTGCTCTGTCCTGTACGTCCCTGGGAGCCTGCATTGGCTGCTCGGAAATGCTGCTGCCAGCCGAGAGAAACGTCCACTGCAGTGCAGAAGTGAAAACATGGATTCCAAGAGAGGCAGAAACATGCCTTTTGCCTTTGCTATTCCAATAGAGCTCTCAACGTTGTGTTTCCATTTTACTTTTTGGACAGGTATCTATCCAAAGGTTCCAAGAGCCTTTTAAAATCTAGGATATTTATGCCCAAACTGGAATACTGGAGAGCTGTATTTATGATGTGTGATTTGAAACTTAGCATACTTTCTTTTGTGTCGGAGATTTTCAAGTATGGTTCGTTCCTGGCCTTTTCTTTCACATAAGGCACGGTGTATTTCTCTTATGAGGAAAGGTGGTTAGCAAAAAGGTAAAAATACGTTAATTTACTGTTTATTATATAATTTGTTGCTGTCATTATTAAAATTAAATCTTAACATCATGCCCTGGTACTGGGAGGATGAAAATAGCAATTTTCACTTCAGCAGCAAAAGGAAATTTTTCAATAATGCAATATTTCTGTATGCACTCATAGCCAGGCAGGAGCAACAATGAAGACACAAAGTTTGCCTTTGTTTCTCACAGAGTTCCATCCAATTCTTTCCTGTCTAGTGTATTTTTTTTTTGCCCATTCGATAAACAAATACTTTTTATGACAATGAGGAAAATGCATAATCTTTTCAGAAAGGTATGCAGCCCTTCACAATGTGGTTCAGCACTCTTTAAAGAACTGGAAATGTTACAATATGCTGTGGTTCTTGGGTGCCCAAGGGAAAGAGATTTTTATTATCATTGGTCACAGGACTGCCAAATGTTATCTCATAAATCCATGTCTTTCACAATGGGTGAGGTAAGAAATAACCTTTCTTTCATTCTGGTTGGTTTAGGTGGTAATGTCCATGGGAATGAGATAGAGCTACATTGCTTTTGTGGTTATTCGAGTACCAAAGAGAGACATTTTACACCACAGAAGTTGTTCACTGAATGCAAAATATGGTCCCCACAGCTCTCCCATAAAAATACATTGTGGGAAAACAAACAGTACGAATAATATTTGTTTTCTCTCTTGTAGTAAGGGCTTCACACTCCTTAAAAATATTTATCTTGGTTTTCAGATATGTAATGTTGAGAAAATAGCATGTGGGGATAACTGATGGGGATATCTTCAAGTAGGAAATAATGACTTTGGGGAATTCCCTTTTAAGTAAAACATTACTTTGTATTGATTGTTGAAAAAACAAAAGTGAGCTTGCACCTTTGAAACCTTCTGCAAAACTGGCACAGGGTTAATGAGGAAGCAAGATGCAAGCCAATGGGTTTTATGTGAGGTTAATGTCCCATTTTTCTGGGTTGTGAATAGCAGTGTGGGGGGTGTCTCTTTTCATACAGCAATTCACAGGCTTCGGAAGATTCTGCAAAATTGTGTTCATTTTGAGAAACAAAGCAAATGCAAATGGGTCCCTGAGGTTTGAAAAATACTGTGTTCTGTGTACAATATAATAAAAGCCAAACTTTTTCCATTCCTGTAGTGATCTGCTGCTCCTCTTCAAAAGCAAAGCCTTCATTAAATATGTCATTGAATTTTAAAAAATTGAACTCAAGTAAATTTCAGGATTCTGTCGATTGTGGTTATTTGATTCAAATATTGAAGGTACAATTTTGTGACTGCTTTTTTTGAAATTAATAAAAAGCTTTGCAAAATTAAATGCCATAACTCAACCCCCATCTCTGTCCCTCTTGTCCTCAGATACAGAAACAAAAACCACTCACCACATTTAGAAAGTCTACTAACTAAGGTTGCCTCCAGGTTGATTCCCAACCAGCCTAGCCAGTTTCAGTCTCTCCTTACCACTGAGACATAGGAAGACTGTTTTGTTTTTGTGTTTCTTTTAATGCAAGCAGATGTGACTCACTGGGTGAATTTGCACACAGCATTAGCTCCAGCATGAGATGTGGTGGAATAACTGCACTTGTAGTCTGCTGACTTGCTCCTGCATGGCAACTCCAGTCCCTCCTGGGTTTGTAGGGCACATGGTGCATCTCCAGACTGAATCATGCTTGCTCAGTCAGTCCAAAGTATGCAGCATCCTTTGGAGCTGCTGTGCAAGTGTGACAGATCTTTGTGGACCAAGCAATGTCTTGCTGAAACAACAGTTTTTTTACAGCAATGGGGTGAAGTCCCAAATTCCTGCTCCTGTCTACAGTCTAACTCTTGCAAGGTAGGAGGCTGAGGATACTCAGTGGGGAATAATGAGCACAGCTTCCTCCTTCAAACCCATCCTTAAATTTCAGATTTGGAATAATGCCTACCAGCATCTTGACCACTCTTTAACCCCTGCTTGTCATGTTGGCCAGAAGTGTCTCTTGTCCTTGTACTGTGTTGCCTCTTGGACGCCTGTTGCCCCTTGCATTGGATGATCTCTTTGTAAATGCTGCCATTTTGCTTTGTTCTCTAGCACAAGAAACAGCAGTAACACAAATGCTAACAGTAATGTGAGGCATCAGGTGTCACATCTGTCTTGTCCCTCGACCCTGTCCTTTGGGAACATACCAAGTCAGTACGGTCATTTGCCTGAATAAATGTTTCCAAGGTCAGTCCTGTATTTATGGCACGTTTCTGTTCTCAGAGGAGGAGGGCTGTCATGAAACAACCTTTGCAAACTCACAAGCAGCACAGTAACCAGCCAGAGGGATGGAGCACCTCCCCTGCTGAGAGAATTGGGTTTTTTCAGCCTGGAGAAGAGAAGGCTTCAGGGTGACTTGATTGTAGCCTTCAGTACATGAAAGGAGCCTACAAGGAAGAAGATGCACTTTTCACTGGAGCATGGGGGAATGGCTTCAAACTGAAACTAGGTTTAGATTAGATCTACGGAAAAAATTATTTTCTGTGAGAGTGGTGAGGTTCTGGAACAGGCTGCCCAGGGGAATTGTGGCCGCCCCATCCCTGGAAGTGTTCAAAGCCAGATCAGATGGGGTTCTGAGCTATCCAGGCTAGTGGAAGATGTCCCTGTTCAGGGAATGCAGTTTAGAACTAGATGATCTTTAAAATCCTCTTCTAACCCAGGCCAGTCTATTATTCTATCCTGTCATTACTGCTGCATCATCACTGGCGTCTTTGGCTGCCCCCTATAAGATTATTCTGCAGATACGCAAATAAAGCAAGATAAAATGTTCACCTCTTGCCCCCCTTTTATGTTTTCCTATTTGCTTTTTTTAAAAAGTGCTCTGCAGCAATAGGAAAGAGCCACATTCACCAGCAAGTGAATGCTGTAAAAGTTATGAACACAGGCTTCTGTTGAACAATTGCTACAGGAAAAATACAGCATCTCTTGTTTTGTAGTGTGTTTACTGTATCGTCCTGGTATACATCCATTACTTCAATTATCTAAAGAAAGAGGCTTTGATAGATTACGACCCAATGATGTGATCCTTGTGAGAGGCACACACATGCACTTATTGTTTAAGGTAGAAAATGGTTGCTTTGTGTAGTTCTAGTGGTGTAGCAGGGAATATAGCTCAGCAGAAGCAGGAAGGCAGCCTAACCCTTAGCCCCACACTCACACTAACAACTATTACTTCCTTAAGTGAGGTGAGACACAGCCTTCATGGCAGTTTCCTTCATCCATGTGAAAGACTCCTGTCTTGGGAGACATAGCAGGTTTCCAGTAGTGTTAAGCTATTTGAAAAATGCACCATCTAATGTATTGTTTGTACAAGAGTCACAGATGCAAGCTGGTGAGCTGACAGATTGAAAAATACATTTCCTACTCCAGGGAATCAGAGCCTTGAGCAAAGGCCCCTCTCACCCTTCCACCCCTCCGCTTGCAGGCAGCAGCAGCTGCTGCTGGTGTGACCAACAGCAAGGCAATGGTGTGTGCCACGTGTCCTGTAATTCCTGTTCTCCCTTTGATTATCTGTTAATAAGTAAACCCCACTGGGGCTGGGCAGGTCTGGGTAGATCCTTGGGAGGCTTTCCCTGTAGCCAGCTGTGCAATTGTTCAGAGCAGCGCTGCAGCTGAGCGGGCTGAGGGCTGCTGTGTCTGAGCAGGGCACAGAGGAGGGGCTGCTCAGGCTGCCACTGCTGAGAGACCCAGGCCTTCGGGCAGCTGGGCTCGCTGCCTCTTTACATTAGCAACTGCTTCCTAGCCTGGAATAAGGTGCTGCTATCACACTCTGCATATTAGATTAGGGGGGAAAAATACTTAGACATGCAATGCAATGTGACACTTTATTGCCTTTTTTTTTTTAATTTCAGGAAAGGAGTTATGCTTTCCCAAAGAAAAGGGTTTTTTTCTTAAAATGAATTAATGAGCTAAAAATTAATTTCCTGCATGAACCTAGACAGTGGGTTTTTTTCAAATTACAGAAGAAAAATATTAGATAATAAATCAAATATTGCAGAATTAATTAAAACATCAATTCTGTATGTACAGTAGTCAGCTATTTATTCTCTTTACTCATATCAGGACATTGTTTCTATAAAAAGTAAAGCGAATGACAGGTTCTGATGGGAAACAAGTACTATGTA